TATTCTCCTTTGTTGGATGCCGCTCATATGCTTTCTGACATTGCCGAGCTTGATGTCGAGCTCAGTTGTTTTCCATGGTATTGCAGGGTGCCGTCCAAGAGCAATTTTTCCGACGCTGCCTCCAGACTGAGCTTTGGGGAGTATGAGGAATGCTTCCGAAGGATTCAGCCCACTCTGGCAGCCTTTTGATCAGACATGCGCGGTGTGTTTCGGATGGGGGGTATGTGGCACCGCTTATGTTGAGCATTGGCCGACATGAGCTCTGTGTTGGAACATCCTGTGATGTGCATGGGCCGTCACGGGAAATCCACTTTTACTTTACGGCATGTTCCGTTTCGAATGCGACTGGTGCCATCCCCCGTCGGAAAACAAATCGGCCGTGTGTGCGAGTGCTCTGCATGTTTCCCATATGTGGATTGAATTTATTCATCAGTCATGTCTATATTTCTTTGATGAAAGGAAATAGTTCACTTGTGAAGTTTTCCCTTTTGTCGTGATTACATTTGAAAGGATTGGCTTATAAGGATAAAGACAATCTCACGTTCGTGATATCCTCTTATCCTTTTGCCAACAGGTGATATGTTCACCGTCCTTTCTTTGTAATCGTTTGATCACGCCTTTGTGAAATTGCTCATGGTGCTCCCGGGCACAAATGTAGTTGGGCATGCCGCATGAATTCTGTCCTTTATTTTTTTTGGAATGTAGTCGGATTCGCTTTTAAATGTGTCGACTACTTTTCAATGCTTTGACACTTGTTGTCTGATGGAACAATGCTCCACTGAAGGTTTTGGCTCCGATGCGGAGCTCACATGTGAAAAATTTTGACCCGCCCTCCCACCCTGGGGGGGTATGTGGCACCGCTTATGTTGAGCATTGGCCGACATGAGCTCTGTGTTGGAACATCCTGTGATGTGCATGGGCCGTCACGGGAAATCCACTTTTACTTTACGGCATGTTCCGTTTCGAATGCGACTGGTGCCATCCCCCGTCGGAAAACAAATCGGCCGTGTGTGCGAGTGCTCTGCATGTTTCCCATATGTGGATTGAATTTATTCATCAGTCATGTCTATATTTCTTTGATGAAAGGAAATAGTTCACTTGTGAAGTTTTCCCTTTTGTCGTGATTACATTTGAAAGGATTGGCTTATAAGGATAAAAAATAATCCTTAAATAAGCATCCTAGTAGGAATTCGGTGTCTTAAGCTTATGGTTCAAATTCAATCATGCACATATTGTTAGGAATTTGATTTTCGGCTGGAACATAATCTTCTTAAAGTGCTTCCTTTTGACCCCAGCTCGGCTACAAACGATAGGCTCGGAAGGTGTCCAAGCGACGTTTTCCAAGATCTTGTCGGTGCTCGAGTTGCTATTGTGCAGATGGCTCGAGGCTTTGCATGTTGAGTTTGGGGTGCACTTGCTTTCCAAGGGGGTAGATCTTGCAGTCTAAGGAGCTTCCACATTCAAGCGGTTGCAGGTGCATGTGGATGCATGAAATTGAAACATCCATATGCTGTGCTGCTCAAGTTGAAGAGTCGTTTTCGTTGTCACTGGGTTATATACTCTTATGGCTATTTGTCCCTCGTGGAACATAATCAATCCGATGCTACAACACAGGTAGCTGCATTTCGTGATGGCATGTACCCTGTTAAAACAGCCCCACCAATACCCGTTCCGACCTTGGATGTGAATCTGCACCTGCCATTTTGTTTTGTTTGACTGTCTGCCCTCGGTGCAGGTTCTGATCAACCGGAAGATTTTGTTGGCTCTTCATGCCGTAGTTGCCCAAGTAGAACAGCGCTGATGGGTTTGGAGTGTGTTTGGATGCTTGCCGCGCGTTTGAACATGCCAGGACCGCATTGTGCAGATTTGTGCGCAACGAGCAACAGAGATGGATGTCGTCCGCCTGCCAAAGTTTTGGAAGCTTTGTCGCTTCTTCTCATGCAGAAGCTGGCATCTGTAGCTGCTCAAGGCCACGTGCTGATGTTTAGTCATGTGTATGGAATTGCCCAGGCTCCACAAGCCATGTTGTTGTACAGCAAGACAGCCACACGTAATCTTCAAACAAGCGTTTAGAAGACACCTACCAGCGTTTTCGCACGTCAGCATGCATGTCTAAGACACAGGAGAGCCAGATTCATCCGATGCAAAAAACGTGAATGCAGGGGCATCATGTTTGGACAGCGACGGCAACAGGCAACATGACCAGCAGGGCAGTCGAGAGCGATTCTGGCTGACATTCCACCTCCGTGTTGCAGGAAACAGGCAGAGACTTGCTGACAAATCCGACTCTCCTCGAGGCCTTGTTGCGACCATGTAAAAAGAACACTTCGCGGATCTGCAGCTGCTCCTTCTGGTTCGAAACGGTCCTCGGTGCACGTGCATGAGGCATTCGGAGGCAACAGCTTGGGGTACCAAGGCCGGCAGCGATCGGCACACTGTGAGAGACGGGCTGTGAAGGTCCAGGGCATGCAGAGGACCCCTTACACTGCAGGTGGTGGAGCTTCCAGAGTGGGGGCTCCAGATGAGGCTGCAGTGAAACAGTGAACAGCAAGTGTCCGTGTTTGTTGGCTTGTTATCGCTGCTGGCTGGCGCAGGCCATGACTCAGACTCACGTTTTTGCAGATTGTGTGCTTTGTAGGCCATGGTGGAGGATGGTGCCGAAGAGGTCCCCAAGATCTTCTCAATGCAGGCAGTACCCGTATCCAGAGGTTTATGTATTTTGTGTGAATGGATCCTTATCCAGTGGAGGCGCTTGGCAGCTCTGTGGGCGACAATCTTAGTTGCATGCCGAAGATTCGAGTCTAGTGGGGCGGGGCCCGTTGCCCTGCCATCCGTCCTCTAACTCGCTTCTTGGAGGTGTAGCCAACACTCCTGCCGCTGCTGCTTCTGCAGCGTCCCAGGCCTCCAAGATGCAAGCTGCTGCAATTAGCTGATTCGCTGCTGCATGTGCAGAGATTCGAGGCCAACTGGCCAATCAGGGACGTTGCGTCCTTTGGCGGACAAGGCACAGGTGGAGGTCTCGGAAAGCGTTTGCAATCGGGCCTTAGATGTTCTGAATTCCAGTCAGTTCTATTTTGGTCCCAAGGTTGGGGTCACAGCCTCTTGCTGCATCCTCCGGCGCAGGCGCGAGCTTGAAGCCAGGGGTGGGCTTGGCTTTGTGCGTTGGGCTTTGTGTTGGGCTTCAGTGGGTTGGCTGGGAGCTGTCGAGGACAGACCTGGACTTGGGGGCAGCGAGCCACGGCCTCGGCGACACTCGTCGCCTCCCCCGCTTTTGATACGACCCGTGAAGGCCTGGGAGGATAGGCACCGGCAGCTGCTGGGTGTGATGCTCAGCTTGTTGGATTCTGGAACAAAGGTTTGCTGACGGACTGTCTTGCCTGTTTGCGTTGTGCTTGGAGGTGACGGTCTTCGGATTTCCCAGCCGACTCGTGAGAGCCTAAGCTCTGGTCATTCGTGTGATTTGCAGGACATTCCATCTCATTGCAAAGTCGCTTAGGCATCAGCAGTGCGACAGCAGCTGGAAGCGATCTGTGGGCCAATCGTCGAGGCACGGGGCACAAGCAAAGTCAAAGCGACACTTCAGTTCCGTGTGTTGTGATGTGCTGTATTTTGGGGATTCGGGCTGCGTCTGAGGTGTGCCACGGCGATGGAAACTTCGTGCACGTGTGCTTTGCAAGCTCGCAGGCTCTTTCTGCCCCTCCAGTCGAAATGCTGCTTCTGTTCACATCTCTTCCGAGGCGGCGAATGCCTCTTTAGCTCTGAACGGACAGCTCCTGCTCGGGAAGCTGATGGTCTGTTTCCCAGGTGTAATTCAGCGTCAACTTTTGACATGCTGGTTGCCAGCCCAGCTAAGGTGGGTTGTGTTCCTTGCACCCGCGCTGTCAACGACTCAATGCAACAATGTCTCCAAACTAGTGTGGGGAACTTTTCTTTGATGCGCTACATCGGCTCCGGCTTGATGTTGTCAAGGCCCTTTTTGCCGAAGATGGCCACTGCCACGAGCAAGAGGTGCTCCTTGCAACAGATAATAAGCAGGAGCATATCTGTATCTGCTGTAGCAATTTGCCATGCTTTTGTCCCCGTCCGTCCGCAAATGGTACACGTTGTTGGAGTGATCGCATGCTGTCTTGGACTGGTACTCAGGCATTCATTCCACGAGAGTAGGAGATTCCCATCTTCCTGTGAGCACCGTCATGTACACCATCAGTCTGCAGGTACCACCTCAAGCCAGCGCTGCAGGCACGTTGCAAGATGCGGGCTTGAAATGCAAAGAAGCCGAGACGTTGGAGGTCTGACTTTGGGACCGGGAAGACCAGAGGCCCGAGGGGCTGCGGAGAGGGGCTGAGAGGGGGGCTTGGGCCCGCTCTGGGCCTGGCTGCCGCCTGGCCAGGTTCGCCGCAGTGGTGTGGTCTGGCGCTTGCTGGACCAGCTCTTCGACATCTGAGCACAGCCTCTCCTCACAGACCGTGTGCCGTAGTAGACTCCGGATGCATTGGTTCGGAAAAGGTGTAGCAGTGCCATGAATGCCTTGATCACCAGCTGAGTAACCTCCGATCTTCATGATAGCATGGTCCGTGTTCACTGTTTTGGAGGGATGATGCTTCCCTCCCGACTCGTGAGAGCCGCGGTCATCAAACTTTCCGCCAGGTCAACGTGGCCACCGCTTTGCATTGCCTGGGAAGGCCGCAGCGTTGCGGTGCGCCTTTTGCTTGCCTCGGTGTCTCCTAACTCGTCTGCGAGGACGAAGCAGGCTTCATCGTCGTCGTGGTTACGAGGCAGGATGTGCATCCGAGTTGGCAGCAGCTCGGAAGGGAGAGTAACCATTTCTGCACTTCTCAGTTCATGCAGCAGGAGGTGTAAGCTAGAGTGACAAAGCGATTTTGTGTTGGAGTAGCCCGAGGAGACCCGATGATGCAAGCTTTGGTTCG